ACGTTTTTACGCATGGAGGAACAGCCATCTCTTGGAGATCAATGAAGCAGACACTCACTGCCACTTCATCAAACCATGCTGAAATCCTAGCCATTCATGAGGCTAGTAGAGAATGCGTCTGGCTGCGCTCCATGACTCAGCACATCCGCAGAGATTGTGGTATGGACGAAGACACACAGCCCACGGTGATGTATGAAGACAACGCGGCATGCATAGCTCAGCTCAAGGAAGGATATATCAAAGGAGATCGGACGAAGCACATTCTACCGAAGTTCTTCTCAACCTCAGACTGGCAGAAGGACGGCACTCTCAGCGTTCAGCAGGTCCGATCCAGTGAGAATTCAGCTGATCTCTTCACCAAATCATTGCCTACTTCAACACACCGGAAGCTCGTCAAACAGATAGGAATGTATAGACTTAGAGATCTGCAGTGATGCTACAATCAGGGGGAGTAATGCGTGTTGTACTCTTTTTCCTTCACCATGGTTTTGTCCCACTGGGTTTTTCCTGGTAAGGTTTTAATGAGGCAACATTCCCCAGCGCATTATCGAGATCCCGATTGAGTAGCTAGCCCGGTTCACTCGTCCAAGGGGGAGTGTTGTAACACATATCATATATGGACTCTTATACCGGCCCATTAGGCCCATCAGGGCATTGTACTTAACTTAGATTCCCTATGTACTCTATATATACATTCCAGTGATTAATAAAGTTTCTAAGAAGTTTTCACAACAAGGAAAATATAATTCGATTTTTTGGTATATTTTATGGTATGTTTAAAATTATTCATAAACATAAAATTTTGTGGTTTTGTTGAAAATTATGTGACTTATTCACACACACGTGCACACATACGATACTAACATCTTCCTTATCGTCCAAATTAAACAACGTAGAACTAAAACTTTAATTATTTTTACCATGAGAAGCGACCCCACCGCATTAAGGCATCTATTTCGATGTGTATTTGTCTCATTTTGTAGTAATCTTCACAAAGCTCTAAATAGTCAAATATGAGAATGGTCTGATTTGCCTTTCCTATCCATTCATCTATAAATACCTTCTCACACCTTCTCAATTTTTCACACACTCAGCTTTGTTTTTCCCCCTTTTTAATATATTCCTCCATCTTCAAAACCAAATCAAACTCATCAAAACAGTTACGTTCTATCAACTCTTATAAGTTTCGCATTTTACGATACATACGACATAACATGGATTACAGATCATCAATGGAGTCGTCGGAAACCCTAAGGTAACTATTTTCATGACCTCTTAACATTAAAACAAACAAAAAAAAGACTAGTTTCATAATTTCATGACCTACATCTATTATATCATACCTAATTCTATCAAAAACAAAAGATTCATGGAGTGGTATGCAATATCATACCCAAATACTATCAACAATTGATGAAAGACTAAAAGTAAGTATTAAATAAATTGTATATATATGTACACGTGCAGGAACAAGTGTGCCGCTTGTTATAGGCAATTCAACAAAATGGAACATTTAGTGGAGCACATGAAGATCTCTTATCACTCCGGTCATGAGCCTACTTGTGGTGTTTGCAAGAAACATTGTCGCTCTTTTGAGTCCCTCCGGGAACATCTTATAGGTAAATGATAACCTCTAGTACTCTATACACTTTGCATATGTAGCATTTTCTTATATTTTTAAATGTTGTTTAATCTATAGGACCATTACCAAAACAAGAATGCAAGAACATTTTCAGCCTTCGTGGATGCAGATTCTGCATGACAATCCTTGAAAGCCCGAACGCTCGTAGGATTCATCAAGAGAGATGCCAATTCTTGAGCGCCAACTCTGTAAGCCTCTCTTCCCATCATATTTATATAATTGAACTAGTAAAAAAAAAACCTTTGAACTATATACATATGATTTTCTCTTTTTCAGGGATTGACGACTCGTATGGCGGCTTTAGGCCTAAGAGATAAGGCCATGATCGACTACACATCATCACGGTCTCCAAAAGTGGTTGCACTATCTTGCAAGATGGTAGGAGGAGGAAGCGACGGGTCGGTGGATCTATGCGCCAGGGTTTGCATAACGGATGAGAGCGACAACGTTGTGTTCCACACATATGTGAAACCGTTGATGCCTGTGACGAGCTATAGATACGAGACGACGGGGATACGTCCGGAAAATCTAAGGGACGCAATGCCGTTGAAACAGGCACAAAGAAAGATTCAAGAGTTTCTTTGTAATGGAGAACCCATGTGGAAGATTCGTCCAAGAGGTGGGAAAGCAAGGATTCTCGTGGGACATGGCCTCGATCACGATCTTGACCGCCTTCAACTTGAATATCCGTCTTCCATGATAAGGTGACATTTATAAATTTATATAAAAAACTAAAGATTAAGAAGACACATATAACAAGATTCCCTAGTGTTACCTGATTTGTTTGAATATATCCATGATTTTATGTGAGAATATTATATAATTAGGAATTTTAATATTATTTTTTGCTCTATATAGGGATACTGCGAAATACCCTCCGCTGATGAAAACAAGCAAGCTCAGCAATTCACTCAAGTACTTAACCCAAGCCTATCTCGGGTAATATATCCAGTTTTCTTTTTGTAATTGAATATTTTCTTTTGTGCACAAACTGAATCGAATACTGTATATCAATTTGGATAGTGAATATAGACGCATGCATACGTATATTGATACATATATGTATCTTATATTTTTCCATTATGTTTTAGGTGCTGTGGGTATATATTGATACTTTGTATGGGCTTAAAGTCATAAGGAAGAGATTCAAAACGTGAAATGATTCTTCACATTATTACAATATATTCATTTCTAATTTTCTACATCTACCCACACATATACCGATATACGTATACATGTACCATAATACATTATATGACTAGAAACTGTGACCCAGAGAAAATTTTTTTACATGGTTTAGAAATTATTATTTTACATGAAATGCTTACTTTTTTCTCCGAGTCGTATACGTCAACCTATTTATTTCATTTTCTTTTCTATCAATCGCAACTAGTTCAAATATTGTGTGTATACATAGTTTTCTGTATGTAAAATAGGATAAGTGTGTATGCCTCGTATCATATGTTCCATAAACTAATCTATGTTCGTGTATATAAAACGAATCTAAAACATTTGAGTTCAATCAAAACGCGCGAATGTCTAACGTTCAAGATTTTATTTTTTTGGTATGATAACGTTCAAGATTTTTAATGATGATTATTGATTAATGTGTTTATAGGTACGATGTTCATGTTGGAATACAAGACCCATACGAAGATTGTGTAGCGACGATGAGGCTTTACACAAGAATGAGATATCAAAAACACAGGATTGAAGCTTACCCTTTAGCTGCGGACGCGCAGAACCGTAGCAACCAGGTGGCTTGGAGGCAGAGCGAGGTCGAGAGGATGTCTCCTGTTGAAATGCTCTCCATCTCTCGCTCTGACTATTATTGCTGGTGCTTGGACTCCCTCGCTTAATTTCGAAAAAAATTGTATGAATATTTGGGTAATCACTCAAATTACTTCATAAACTTTTTTCGAGATTTTAAATTTAGTAGCATAACGTCGAATAAGCATTAGTTCTGGATCCTAGTAGTATCTAAATTTTATAGTGTGTATCGTGTGAGATGCATTAATTGTTGTTGTACTGGTAATATTGCATTGCTCTCAATTATATTAATTACTTGATAGCTTTTTATCCATAAAACCATCTCTACTTGTTTTGAAGTTTTTTCAGTACATGTAAAAAATTACGCAAACTATCTATTACAAATTTTGTTAACATGCAATACAAGATTGGGAACAATGTAAAAAACAAAAATCCTCGAAATATCAAAATATGCAAGAGCAAACTCGGTTTTTGGTTAAAAAAACTACAAATGAAAATCTATGTAATAAGAAACCATCATTTTGACATAAAATAAAATACGTTTGTGAGTTAAAAAAATACACAATAAAACATAGTTATATATAATATCAATTTATGATAAAAATAGCATTTGGAATCAGAAAAGGATATGTATTAAAATACAAAACTGTTAATAGTAATAACATGATTTATACATCTTTACATTTTACCAAAAAAAAAAAAATGATTTATACTACAACATTAAAACAATATTAGAGCAGATTAATAATACACACATTAGAAGGGAAACACGTATCTTTTTTAAATGACAGAATACAATACTCGACTATTCTATCTAATAGAGCGGGCCAGCCCAGTTTAAGACTTGGGACGTTAAAGAGCCTAATAAGAAGAGCTGGAGCTGCGAATCTCGATGTCACCCATGAGATTGCTTCAAAGGGTTTAGATTTCTCTGACATACAACACGTAATCAACTACGACATGAATGATGCAATGGAAGAAGCAGAGACCATTGCTAATGCAAGTGGTGTCAAGGGTTGTGCTTATTGTGGGGGTCTCGGACATCGTATTCGAGACTGTCAAACACTGGAGCACCAGAATAGTGTGGCCATATCTAATTCAAGAAGAGAGTATATTGGCTCTGGTGGATACAGAGGAGAGATATATAACCTTGTGTCAATTTTCTTACATAGTTTTACTTTTATCCAAGAATCTTATTTTAATCTGCCTGCCATCTTTTTCTTTGACCGTGAATATAACTTTGTGTATATATATACACTAGTATTTTAAGGATTCATAAGAGCATTTTCCCTCCATCATGCAATTTTTTAACTTCATTATACAAAGTTCCTAAAAATCAGTTTTTTTTTCTACTCAGTTTTTTTCTTTCTACCCACAACAAGAAGTCACATCCTAAGATTTATTTTGCAACATCAAAAATTAAGTATTGAATTATGTTGCTTTTCCGAATTTCCGAGAAATAATTAGTAGTACCATCAATTTTCCGCGGGAAGACAATGATTTTTGTTCTTTTCCATTTTTACTGTTAGAGAATAATTGATTTTGATTGTGCATATTAATTCATCAAACTTAAAATGTTCCTCAAAATTCTACATACACCTATTTATATGTGTAGCATATAATAGTTAATATCTTTCTTAGACGAAAAAGGAGTTTCAATTCCATACACGAAATATGATATCGTTACTTAACGTATAGTTAAGTCACCCGAAGGCTTGAAATAAAAAGGACTTAAAAAACTAACTGCATCTTTTATTAATCTAAAGTATATATTCAAGCCGAAACTCGTTTAGTTTGTCCATGGTTGCCACTGAGTTGTAACTGAGAGTTAATCTTAGAAAGACCTTCCTCATCTTCTTCAACATCTTTTGGTGTTGTCTTGTAATAACAAGCATAGAGTATAAGTTGTACTGCTCCTGATACGGTTCCCAGTCCATTTCCAATCTATGATTCAAAAAAAAAAAGTAAGTGAAACAAGTAAATTCATAGAAGATATAGTAATACTATATAATTAAATGAACTTACCAAAATGAAAAGATCGAATTTAATAAGGGCATAAATAACCCAAATGACACCGTTGAGAAAGTTGCCAAGTGAAAGAGAGAACGGCATGTACTTCACACTTTTGGTCTTGATTACCTTACTCTGTTTCATTCACATCAAAAATGTTGTACAATAAAATATAAGATATTAAATAATAAGAAGTTAGGGAAAAACAAAGGAAATTCAAAAAATAGTACCATGATGGTGAGAGGAGCAATATACATGATGCTAACAAAAACGACACAAATAATTCCTACAAAAGAGGATCTCTGGTTATGTGTGTGGAACAATAGCAATGTGCATGTGGCTACTATTCCTACAAACACCATCTCTCCTATCAGCCATAGCCCCACTTTCACCTGCACCATGAATCAATTTAATTAAAGAAATTCAGAATAAAATTGTATAAACCATTTTTTTTGCCTATCACCATCCTAAAACAGAATCAATCATAGTCGACTACTGCTTGTTACTTTAGTTTTTGAGCGTTCATTTTAAGCCAAAAGACAAGAATCGAATCGACTTGAGTTTAGTTTTGGTTAATCTCGGTTTGATTACCATTAAACCAAAGCTAAAATTTTGTTAATAGACAATCTAAATTTTGTTAATTGTTACACACACACACACACACACTGACACACACACACACACATATATATATATGGTACACAGAACTCGAATTCAAAAATTATATATGTACCGTACCACTCTCGTTTAAATTCTTGTAAAATTTTCCGGATGACATTATAATTAGACCAACATATTAAATAACATTTTTAAAAATAACAATAATATCTCAAACTTCAAATAAACATATATATTGCTGCCTTGTTATATATCTATAGGAGACAAAATATGATTCAAAGAATCCAGATGGAAAACCAAAACCAAACCCAAAAGTTTCTAGTTTATGGATTTTTTGGTTCATCATTTGGCGCAACGAATTATCGTAAATGAAGAGAGTCATAAGGATATATAATAATATACCTTGCGAGGGTTGGGAGAAAAGTAGAAGAAGATAGAGAGATAGAAGAGTTCAATGGCAAGACCAGTGGCATTAATTGTGATCACAAGTAGACTATCTGGATGCACCATTGGTAAGCCATAAAAGACCCATAGTGCGCAATTTAGCACAGTGGCTAAGTATGGGTCGGCTTTGTACTCCTCCACCCTCTTCATCTTGTATATCGTTATGAATGTTGGTCTGCATTAATTATATTTTCTTATAAACATTGATTAATTAATATAAAATTATGTTATATATGTGCCTGAGAGACCTAAGTTAGTTGACCAAAAAACAAGGTCAAAGCAAGAAAAAGAAAAGGTCAAAGCAAGATAGAGAGAGAGTATGATTACATGGGAGATAGGAACAAGAACAAGGAGATGACATTTCCTGCGACAATTGACATATAATTCATAAATATTAGGAAAAAGGTTAAAGATTATTCAAAAGTTCATGCACATAAAAATCCCATATTTATATGTATTTTTGCGCTAACCAAAAATGCCGGCAATGTTTCTCGCAACTGTCGCGCTAACCATTTCACTAGATAAAGCAAATTCCGTTCAAGAACAAGAAGCAAGAACAGAAGAGAGAGAGAGAGAGAAAGAGCGAGAGAGAGAGAGAGAGAAAGATGTAATTTGGTAAAGTCTGTATGGTTTTTGCTTATATTTATAGATACACGATGAGGTGGTATAAATACAGATACGCATATAAGTAAGTGTATATATGTATTGTGATGACGAAGCGAAACTCAAGAAGTTTAAGGAATTGAAATGAAAACGACCTTCATGAGTTTTTCTTTCCAGTTTGAGGAAACTATCATGACACTTATCTGATTACCTTGCAAAACTTTCTCGTTGGCTTATTGTTTTTGGAGCCATGATCATAACTATGCCTACCCTTTAGAGTATACGTGTATATATATACATCACATGCATGTGCACTGCAATGTAAGTTAATTGTAATAATCTGTTTCACGGCCATAAATAATTTACAAAACAAGAATATTCAAAGTGATCCACGTGAGTGTAAGCTGACAGAAAATCAAATCACGCAACATTTATTTCCTTCTCCTTTTCGAACGATGAATTCATGATTTTCTTTTTGAACGACTTCTAAATTTGCGTTGTCATGTTAAATTATATATATATATATATATATCAATATCATATATATGATTGAAAAGGTAACTTTTTTCAATCGTCATGGATTTCATATGAATATATTCCTCTGCATTTCTCCTTTTATTAGACATCTAGTTTTAATTTTGGCTTTTTGCTAAAAAAATTTTTTATTATATTTTATTATAAGTAATTAATCCTTTACACAAAATTCATTATTAATTCAATTAATTAGTTTTTTCTACGATTTTTGCAGAATGTATAAAAATTTAAAAACTTAGGAAGTTGGATAATTGATCCATTTATAGTTTGTACAACATAACCGTATTAATTTTTCGATTTTTTGCGACGGCGAACTGATTCTGTTATAACAAAAAGACATAATATTCGCTTTATTGAAAAAACAGTTTCAATGATAAATAACATTCCGAAGCAAAAGGGAAATTCCTTTAACAGGTGTTATGAGAAGGTACACAAAGCAATGATTTTTGTAAGAAAAAATAATAATATAAAAATAAAGTAAGCATGCGACTATATGTCGACTTCGAATGTTGGATTCCAATTTAACCATTCTTTTTATGCTCAAGATTTTTTTTTTTATTCTTTTTGAAATATATGGATGATAAAAATCGCGACATATATGTTTTAAATTTGAATATATAAACATAAATTTGTTAGTGATGGATAAGGTATACCAACAATTAGATCAATGTTTACTTAGACACAATTGGTCATCTAAACATAAAACATGATTGCTATAAGAAAATTATTTTAAAATACTAATTTACTCACCTATTCCTTTATTATAAACAGAAATTATCAAAATAACTACAAAACCCATCATGGTGATTAGTAGTAATTGAAAAGTTTACCAGAGATCAAGATTCTAATTATTGCTGCCCATTGTAGATAATTTAGATGACAATAGAAAGTTTAGCTCTTCCACATACATTTTGGTAATTAATGTGTGTTTCAATCCATAATTTCCTTGACTAAAGAAAACTTTTTTTATTTCATTTTGTTATTCTAGGAATGGTTTAACAAAAATTAATATGTACAGTATATTATAACCATCAACATGATTCAACCATGCGATTTTTTTTTTTCGGCATTATGCGATCATTTATTATTTTAAATAATCATTTGTATATTTTTCTGGAAATACTTACGAATATCCGCAAGTCAACAAGACACAAGTGATCGATTTTCTTAAAACACTGGTAGGATGTTCTTCTAAAGACACTTCCGTGATTAAATCAATAATTTTAGACACGATTCGGAAGAGTGTTTGGAGGTTAAATTCTATGCAAGATAAGATATGATCCTAACTTATAATGTGAACTTTAGTGAGGTTTTTTAGAGTAGAAATATCGAACGAGCTAGGTTTCCTTCGATGAGTGGGACTACTGTTTAGTTCTAGAATTGGAACCTCTATTAAAGAGAATGTAATAAGCTTAAGATTTTTTGGGACTTCCAGACAAAAGAAAATGTGAGAATCGGAATCTCTATTTCTCCAAGTTCGCTCTAGCTCGGTTTAGGTTTTTTGCAACTATTCACGTTTATAAACGCTCTTTGGCTAACCCAGAGCGAGCTTGGAGAAATAAACTCATGCATGAGATTACAAACCGAATCTCGACTTGAGATTAGCCATCTCAGTGCCGGCTCAACGAGGCCTAGGGGCTAGGAGTACGACCTCTCTGGAGTCTACTAACTTTTCTAATCATTTGCGTCAAATATTAATTTTATTTCTGGTGTACATGATTATAGCTTCGTACGTCCTACCTATGTCAATGGGACTATCACGTGTCGTAATTTCATTTACTTTCTCCAATAGATTTTTATTTTTATGCCGAACCCGGTATATCTTTTTATCCTCAATAGAGAAAAATGATACCGCTATTAGAATGTTTGATTATTTATCAAAGGTAATGCATTTTTATTTTTTAACCCTACGTTAATTGTCTTATAGTATACAAATATATTCTAGGCGTTAGAATCTTGATGGATAAAGCTTTCTTCTCTTTGGTAATTACTTGACAAAATGTCACACATTTAATGGCTAGCCCAAGGGCTCCAACCACTTTAAAAAATGGTTGATATTTTTTTTTTCTAAATACAGCATTCTGAAAATATATAACCATAAGTTAATACGATGAAGTTCGTAATAAAGTAAAAATTCAATAATACTAGTGTTACTAATCAATCATAAATTAAATACGGAATTGCCTGTGTTGGTTTTTTTTCTCACTATTGATGATGTATTAGACATGAAAAATTTGAGACAACAAACTTGATACCTAAACTAATTTATACTGTCAAAAACACAAAATGTGGTCGGCCTAAATTTCCTAGCAGATGTGTTTGCTAAGTGATAATAGTCGAATTTTTTTCTTATATAGCTAAAACACTTCTCTTTAAATTAGATATGGTATATATAAATTATACATTTGAAAAAGATTACTTTCATTTATACGTTTATACACTATACACATCTCTTTCAATTTGAAACGTTTTCTTTCTTTCTCAATTAACAATTTAATACGTTTTACATTGTCACGAAGGCGTCGAAGGACATAGATGTTTCTCAACTTAAACATATAGGATGGTAGGATGGTTTGGATATATTATTATATTGATATCTAGTATGACTTTTTGCTAACCTGTCTCAGAGACTAAACTGTAATCAAAATAGGGTTTCATTTCACGTACACTGGCTACAATGAATAGTTATGTCTTAAAACGCTAACATTTCTATTTATTTTTTTGGACGGAAAGCTACTATACTGACATAAATAGATAAATAAAATAAGAGAACTATTAAACCTACATTTGATTGATTATGAATATGATCTGCATACATACGACATTACTACGATTTGTCTTTCAAATCTAATTCATTGAAATCAAATACTATTCAGTTGGCTAAACTGATGAGGACATATGCTGTTTAAATATAGAAGAACCAAACAGAGGAGACTGACACTGAAAGAAACAAAACAGAAAGCGCAAAAAAAATTATTGTCAGGATATTGAAATGACCAAGATACCACAAAATGTCACTCTAGCCGCTCATCATTTCCACGGTCACACACATCAATCTTTTTTTTTGGTTGGACAAAATCGGTCACACACATCAAATTTGTTACCCTCTTAATTTCTTTTGTTATAAGATGAAATAATTCAAACTTTATGTCTCTATTTGTAAGGGATGTACCGCAAAGCTTTTGCCTTATTTAGACTATTTTTATATGGACGGTTTGGAATTGTTCCTTGTTAGGATTCAATTCCATCGTGTTTGGTACACAACTTTTAAAGTAGTAAATTTATTGACCCAAAACAATATAGTAGAAATATTACAGTTAACAACCGATTATTAATTGCTTTGATCTTTTCATATCACTATTTGAAACATTCACCTGGACCACTTGGTTCCATTCGATTGATTTTACATGTGGCAAAATGAGTTCGGTTTTTTTAATATTTCTTTTTGTTGATAGCATATACATGTATTTTATTTCATCGGGTTTGAATATATATGGTAGGTATTGACAAAGAAAAAAAGAGTTGTATGTTGGATGTAATATATATTTTTAATAATTAATATGAGTTTTTCTAATTAATGCTTTTCTAAAAATGAAGAAAATTTAAAATTTGCGGTTAAAACTATAAAATTGTAGACAAAATAAAAAGATAGTTTGCATAATTTAAAAATTCAAAAATTTAAGAAATACTTTTATCTCAAAATATTCAGAAATTTAAATGAGTGACATAATAAATTATCTATTTTAAATTTAATATAATTAAAAATAAAATATAAGATTTAAACGAATAGAAGCATCTATTTACCTTTATGCTCTGCTAAACTTTGGCTTTTTCTCTTTTGCTTTTTCTTGTTCTTGCTTTTCTTTGTTGGTCGGCCATTCTTCATTGTTTTTGCCTTCGTGTTGGTCGGATCATTAGAGACCCGGTTACACGATTTAAAAACCCACCCGCTAAACATCACACGTTGCCTAGCCCGTTTTCGTTTGAGTCGAAAGGTTTAAGTTTAAAATTGGATTAGAGATTCAAGCAAACTCAATTGGTGTTGGCAGTACTTTGATCAGAACGAAAACGCACTGAGCACATTGGTTCATTTGAGACCTTCAATCTCTTAAATCTTCTATTTACAAAACCTTAAATATCTATTTTGTTAAAAAAAAAAAATTAAATATCTATTTTGTTGACTACAGATTTTGACGCATTGTATGGGCCAATACTGAGCCGGTCCAGTTATCTCATAAAGCGGGCCTGGACCATTTGTATGTGTAACCGTTGGGTCAAAATATTACGCCTCTAAACGACGTCGTATAACTTTAGATCGGCCGTCTACTGTATAAAGTGCTCTTGGCGGCAGCGATAACCGGCAAAGTCGTTGCTCAGGCGGCGAAGAAATTAAGAAACTGACAAAATATGGGAGTGCAAGGGCTTTGGGAGCTGCTCGCTCCCGTTGGTCGCCGCGTCTCTGTTGAAACCCTAGCCGGTAAACGATTGGCCATCGGTACGATTTCCGGCGATCACTTGGACATTTCCAGTGTCCTTAATTTCTAATTTTTAGTTTGTCACTTTACGAATCAATGATGTTGCTTCTCGTCGATTTCAGATGCGAGTATATGGATGGTACAGTTTATAAAGGCGATGCGGGACGAGAAGGGAGATATGGTGCAGAACGCTCACTTGATCGGCTTTTTCCGGAGGATTTGCAAGCTTCTGTTCCTGAAGACTAAACCGGTGTTCGTTTTTGACGGAGGCACTCCAGCATTGAAACGCCGAACTGTGATTGCTCGTCGTCGTCAGCGAGAGAACGCTCAGACGAAAATCCGGAAAACCGCTGAGAAATTGCTGCTTAATCGGGTCCGTGTCTGTTCTTAGTAATTAATAGTTTTAAATAAGAAGTTTAACGAGATTTATCTAGTTTTGAGTAAATTGCTTTGCTCGGTTTTGGGATTGATTGTTATAGCTCAAGGATATGAGGCTTAAGGAACAAGCGAAAGATCTTAAGAACCAAAGACTGCAGCAGAATATTAGTGCCGGAGAGAAGAAACGTGTATCTTTCGAATCTGTGCAAGAACCTTTGCGAGACTCTGCAAAGAAAGACGATGTGGGGAGCAGTTGTTTTCAGGAGGAAAAGCTAGATGACATGTAAGCTAACAATTATATATATTTCATTGAAATTGGTAGAATTGCTTTAACGACTTCAGTTGATGTAGATCTCCAGCATCTATGGTTGGAGAAAATGGTGTTGATAGTGTCATCAAAGGGAACACGGTAAGTGAATACTAAACATGGAATGGTGTTTTGTATTTACTTTTTAGCTCATTAGTTAAGACTGTGTTGTTGTTAGGATTTGTTGGTACTAGCCACTAGGATTCTCATTTCTCTACACGGACCAACTCAAACTAATTTGAAGTTAGATTGTGCTTGTCAGAGAATGGCGGAGTCCAGCTAATATTCATTTTGTTCCTTTTTATGACTTCAATCATGCTTCTTGCGGTAATTAATAGTTATAAGCTGGGAAATTTGTTTACGCTGTGTTGTGATGTTTTTCCAGTTTATGTTATTTCTTTTGCTTTCACATGTACTTTGTCTAGCATCTTTCGTAGTTATAACTATAGAATCTTGAGAATAGTTGACGCGACTTAACACTTAGTAGCAGACGTGGTGTAAATTTATCAATTTAGCAGACATGGTATTTCTATGTTCAATCCTTAATCTATCAATTCTTTCATCGTCCGTCTTTGTTCAATAATTTGCATGTCATTTGGTTACTGAGATTTATGAAATGCCTATTTTGTGGGTGACTCACAGAGGTATGATCCCAAGGGAAAGGGAGTTTTGTTGGATGGGGATGGCCAAGATAACAAAATGAAGAGTAATCTTGAACAAGATTCCCCAGCACGGACGAAGGAGTATCAGGAAAAGTTAGATGAGATGTAAGCAGTAATTGAGATATTGGTTGAAGATTTTTAGTTGCATGTAGTTATTTCATGTTTTCCTGTGTTGGTTTAATATAGATTGGCGGCATCCCTTGCAGCAGAAGAAGATGGAAATTTTACTAACAAAGCATCGTCTTCAGCTGCAGAAATCCCAACTGAGGAAGAGGGCAGTGAAGAAGATGAGCAAATTCTTTTGGTAATGTGTGATCTATGTACTACTACATCTTTCTCTTGTTTTAGTTACTGATGCTTAAGTTAAAGATCACTATTATTCAGGAGATAAACTTGGGTAAGTTATAGAAATTTTTTAATTTGAAGATTTTTAGTTAAGTTGGTGAATCTTCATTTCTTTAATGAACAATCATGACAGAATTGTGTATATATATATTTTTAAAGGAGTTATCTGATACTTTACCGTCTTCATCTGCTAATAATATTTTGCGTACATTTCTAGCCAGCAATGGATGGGAATGTCGACCCAGCTGTTTTGGCGTCTCTTCCTCCATCCATGCAACTTGATCTCCTTGTTCAGGTAACTAACTATATTGACAGCATATCTTCGCAGCATGTTGAATTTCATGAACGTTATAGTTTATTTGATTATTGACTTCCTTGTAGATGAGAGAAAAATTGATGGCAGAAAACCGGCAAAAGTACCAAAAGGTCAAGAAGGTGAGTCACATAAATCACTGACCCATTCCTGCTCCATTATGTATTTGAATCTTTATATATGAAAGAGATACGGAACACTGACTATGGAAGTTATTACTTTCTTTTATGACCGTATAGGCCCCTGGAAAATTTTCTGAACTGCAAATAGAAGCATATCTTAAAACTGTAGCTTTCCGTCGAGAAATAAACGAAGTTCAGAGAACTGCTGGTGGAAGGGCTGTCGGTGGGGTTCAAACTTCTAGGATAGCTTCTGAAGCGAATAGAGAGTTTATCTTCTCATCTTCCTTTTCTGGTGATAAAGAGTGAGTTGCAGTTTGAAGTCTACTGAAGAAATAGGTTCTGTCGTTTGAGAATATGACTGATATTTTTAATGTGTTCTAGATTACTTGCGTCTTCCAGAGAAGGAAGAAACGATGAAATTCAGAAAAATACGCCACAACAGTCTTTGCCAGTCCCTGTTAAGCATGTTTCTTCGCTGAATAAATCAGATGCTACTACTGAGTTGGACAAAGATGAACCCACAAATCCTGATGAAAATATTGAAGTATATATCGATGAAAGGGGGCGTTTAAGAATAAGGAATAGACACATGGGGATCCAAATGACTCGTGATATCCAGAGGAATTTACATTTGATGAAAGAAAAGGAGAGAACAGATTTTGGTTCTAACAATGATGAAACATTCAGCGCCTGGGAAAGTTTTCCTTCTGAGGACCAGTTTCTTGAAAATTTACCTAATAAGAACGGTGATGATGTGAATTTGGATGACCAGAATGATGATTCCATGCTGTTAAATCCATCTGCAATAGAGATATCATTTGAACATGATGGTGGTGGGAAAGATCTCAGTGATGACGATGATATGTTTCTTCAGTTGGCAGCGGGAGGACCAGTGACGCTTAGTTCTAAAGAAAATGATCCTAAAGAAGATTCTTTGTCTTGGGCTTCTGACAGTGATTGGGAAGAAATGCCTGCTGAACAGAGTAATGTTGCCTCTAAGATCGAAGTGAATTCAAGCAGTCAGCATATCCCCGAGGATATTAGTACCGAGGAGGATGCAGCAAGGGAAGGAAGTACTTGTAAAAATGCCAGTAACTCCATGGAGAATGATACAGTAACAAAGCTCTCCAAAGGCTATCTGGAAGAAGAAGCTGATCTGCAGGAGGCTATCGAGAAAAGTCTTCTTGACTTACATGATAAAGAATCCGGGGATATCCTTCTTGAAGAAAATCAAACGGTAGGGGTAAACCTAGTTGTTGACAAGCCAACTCAAGATAGTCTGTGTTCTAGTGAAACCGTTGGTAAAGCTGGGGAAGAGGGAAGTCTGGACGGAATAACAATCTTAAAAACTAGTGGTTCTATACATGAGCAGTCCAACACTTCTGTAACGGACAATATAGATAATCAGAGAGGGACAACCAAACAATTTGGTACACACCCTTCTTTCAGCTCTGATAAAATTAGACGTGATGGGAGCAACGAAATGCCACTGGTAAAGTCAGTTATCATACCTGAGAAAGCATTTACTAGTGCTAGTGAGAGCAGCATGCCGTCCACCATGGCTAAACAGCATAATGAAGACGGTTTTGTAAGTTTTGGTGGGGAATCTGTGAACGTGTCTGCGATACCTATAGCTGATGCGGAGAGAACTGGTTTTTTGGGTGAAACATCTATTCGCGGTAGTGTGGAAAAAGGTAATGCTGATGATGACTTAATCATTATGGATAATAAGAGAGATTATAGTAGAGATAAACCCCAGAGCCCTGTTTCTGAATCAAGGCAAGAAACTAAGTCTAACGACCCCGCTTTCAATATTGAGAGTTCAACGGATTTAGAAGAGAAAGGCATACCTGTTGAATTTTCAGAAGCAAATTTAGAGGAGGAAATGCGTGTTCTCGACCAAGAATATGTAAGTTTAGGTGGTGAACAGAGGAAACTTGAGCGGAATGCTGAATCTGTCAGCAGTGAGATGTTTGCAGAATGCCAGGTTTGCCTAATGTCGTTTAATACATACAAGAGTCATTTTCTTCTCTATACGATCGTCTTGCAAACTAGTTTTTGTTTTGTTTGATATGACAACAAACTTATAATGTTTTGTTGATTTTGGATTTCCTTAGGAGCTACTCCAAATGTTTGGCTTACCATACATCATAGCTCCCATGGAGGCAGAGGCACAGTGTGCATTTATGGAACAATCAGACCTTGTTGATGGCATTGTCACTGACGATTCGGATGTGTTCTTGTTTGGAGCTAGGAGTGTGTACAAAAATATATTTGATGATCGCAAATATGTGGAGACATACTTTATGAAGGTGTCCATAGCCGTCCTCGAACTCTGTTTTCTTACTTTGGATTTAAATAATTTGTTTGCTGCGATGAGTTTATTTTCTTCTTCAATTTCTAATCAGCTCCCATATTGTCTCTGGCTCTTTTGTTATAACTTCTTAGCACTTCTGTTCTTTCCTCTGGATTGTATAGTAGGTTGATACATGTGCCTTTATTGGCAATAGGTTGCTATGTCGCGTCGGTAGTTGTTTTTATCGATCTATTCCAGTTACATCTCTAATCCTTTGTGTTCACTTTTCAAAGTTTTAGTGATTACACCTCTAAACTCTTCTGATTTTCAGGACATTGAGAAGGAGCTTGGCTTGAGCAGAGATAAAATAATCCGCATGGCAATGCTGCTAGGAAGTGATTACACAGAAGGAATCAGGTTTGCAGAGTTTTTAAATGAACAGGGTCAAAGTCCCATTCTTTATGTACTTGATATCGTAATCGTTTTGACATGCAGTGGAATTGGTATTGTCAACGCTATTGAAGTGGTGACTGCGTTTCCCGAGGAGGATGGGCTTCAGAAATTTCGTGAATGGGTTGAATCACCTGACCCAACCATTTTAGGAAGGACTGATGCAAAAACAGGTTCGAACGTAAAGAAGCGTGGATCTGACGCTGTGGATAATAAAGGGAGCAGCTCAGGTGTCTCGGCTGATGACTCAGAAGAAATAAAGAAAATCTTCATGGATAAGCATGTACTGCTATTTTTCCTAAACGTATTTGATATGGTTCAACTTATCAGAGATTGACTTAAACTTTCTACTAATTTGATTTACCATATAAAATTACAGAGAAAGGTCAGCAAGAACTGGCATATTCCATCTACTTTCCCTAGTGAAGCTGTTGCTTCAGCCTACTTAAATCCACAAGTGGATCGGTCAACCGAGCTTTTCTCATGGGGCAAGCCTGATCTTTCAGTTCTTAGAAAGTAAGTGGTCTTTTAACTAGACAATTCACCAAGATTAGATATGTACAGTACCAGGTTTGCAAACTAAGAGGACTTAAAATCTAATTCCATTTACCTTTTAGCTTCCTTCAAAAAATGTGGCATAGCTTGACATTTTTGTGAAACCACCTAGGCCATGATAAGGGTTTCAATGAATCTGAAATAGAAACACGGAGAAAGTTGCATGATTTTGCCCACGGAAATGGTTTCTGCATAAAACTACTTGCACTTTATGAAACATTGTCCTGAGTTCTGATTGTGTAGTATCGTTTTTTGTTTTGGTGAAGGCTATGCTGGGAAAAGTTTGGTTGGAATAGTAAGAAGACAGATGATCTGCTACTACCTGTCTTGAAGGAGTATGAAAAACGCGAGGTCTTCATCTACATTTAATCTTTTATTTTACGTATGGATATGATTAATGTGTATATATATATGACTTCGTTTCCTTTTCCTCTGTTTCCATGAAGACGCAACTTCGGATGGAAGCTTTCTATTCCTTCAGTGAAAGATTTGCAAAGATCCGTAGTAAAAGAATTAAAAAGGCTGTCAAAGGAATTGGCGGAGGTTTATCATCAGAAGTGATTGATAATACTCTACAGGAAGGTCCAAGAAATGAAAATGAGAAAAGACCTGCTCCTCATGATACTGAATATAACACTTCAGAGAAAGATTCAAACATAGTCGATGAGAAGGAGAAAAACAAAAGGAGTCGCTTAGAAAAACCATCTAGTAGTAGTGGCAGAGGTAGAGCCCAGAAAAGAGGACGTGGAAGAGGAAGAGGAAGAGGAAGAGGAAGGGGCCGAAGAAACATCCTCCCTGAGCTTTCAGACGGCAGTTCTGATGATGATGATGATGATAAGGTAGTTGATTTGCAGGCTCCTCATGATGCAGAACCGGGCAGTTCTCAAAAAGTGCGAAGGGTAAGCCTTTTATATAGCTTTCATATTGTGGATTTTGATTGATAGTGTGGTGGGTTCACTTTGTTATCTGTTATTTCCAGTCAACACGATCTCGGAATCCTGTGAAGTACGATGCGAAAGAAGATGATGAATTGGACGAGTCAAGAAGCAATGGAGAATCCCCTAGCGAGAAATTGGAAGATGATGAATTCCTCAAAGACGAAGGCAGGGTAGGAAACGTCTCTGCGGAAAGAACAGAGAATGAAACAACAACGATCAACGATTGTCCTTCTGAAGATTATATCCAAATGGGAGGTGGGTTCTGTGCAGATGAAGCTGAGGTTGGAGATGCTCATTTGGAAGATAATGCTACAGATGATTACAGAGTGATCGGTGGCGGATTCTGTGTTGATGAAGATGAAACATGTGAGGAAGATGATGCAATGGATGCGGAGCTGCTAAAGACGGAGAATGAAGAACACAAAAACAAAGGTAAACGTGGAAAAGATGACGATGCATCGTTGGAAGAGAATGTTGAGATTGAAATTGGGAATTCTTCAGCTGGAGGATTAAGTGCTATGCCTTTCTTGAAGAGAAAAAAGAGGAAGAGCTAAGCAAAAACTAACATTTATATTGTAGGGAGTAAAATTGTATGATTTGAGATGTTTTAATCTTCTTTTTTTCTTGTTACTGATTTGACACAATTAACAAATGATTATGATGTGAATAGAATCTTGAAGGTATAACTTTTGTAAAGGCAGATAGTATTAAAGCTGAATTGGTTTTGTGGAAAACAATAAAAGGGAAACGGCAGAAAGAATTAGCGAAGAGATCGAGAATCAAACTTCAAACATGCTTATTCGTTGACCATCTCCATTGGTTTTTTCCCTTTGCTTCTCAAGAAAATATATTTTTACATCTTCATTAATCATAGATACATAACTCCATCGATACAAAAGAGCTATGTTTGAGGCATTGCAATACAAAATTAGTTACGGGTTCCCAAATTATTTAAACTAGGTGAATATCCGCACGTAACGTGCGGGTTTTTCTTTTCAAAATTTTTAATTTTTTTTATATTTTTATAAAAATTAATATAATCATCACTTGTTACTTACTTACTTGTTAATATTTTATTTTAAAAAATTATAAAATATTAATACATATTGAATATTATTTAATAATTTAAAGTTATATTAAGATTAATAAATATCATTCAATATTTTTAATTAGTTATAACATAAATTTTTGTTTAACATTTACAGAAATATTAATTGATAGTCAATTAATTAAAAAAATAAAATTAATATAATCATCATTTCATTTGTTACTTGTCAGTATTTTATTATAAATAATTTTTAAAAATTAATTTAAAATACATCTTGAATATTATTAAGTAATCTAAATATTATTAAGTAATCTACAATTATATAAAAATTAAATACATATCTATCAATATTTTAATTAGTTATAACATAAATTTTTGTTTAACATTAATATAAATTTTAATTAAGAGTCAATTAATAAAACAAACTTTTCATATTCTTTAAGTGTTTTAAATTTTAATATTAAAATTTATTAATTAAAATTTAAAGACAGGTGTTAACCTATCCAATGCTGATGTGTCAATTATATGGAGAAAGTTGAGCAACTTTTATATATAAGATTTTGGGTACTTTGAATTTTCATGAGCAACTTATGTATTTGTCCTATGTACAGTGTGTGAAACTTTTGTTTACATTGATTAGTAAGCCCTTTTTAAAAATTCTGCACGAAACTTCATATATCTCGGACACAACTCGTATAAGATATATGAGAAGTTTAAACCATTTTAGGCTACATGCAGATAGAACTTTTAAAAAATAATTTTTAATATATATAGTGTGAAAATAAAACGCGTAGAAAATTGTAGTGTAGTAATGTATAGAAGAAATTTTTTACGTTAAGAACCAAGTTTAAGAACAATGAAATGTTACAAAAGTTTGGGCTACCCTTTAATTCACATCTATGATTATGTGATTAATCTAAATGCTTTTAAATATCTTAGGGTTCATATAAAATTACACTTACACATTGTTCTTCGAAGTTCAAATTTGAAAGAAAATAAATGAGCTTCCCATTCTTATAAGACTATGTGCCAAAAAGAATATCTTGAAATGGGTAAAACAATAATTATTGAAAAACGACCAAGATTTGAGAACGTGGTCCGTTCCCAAGCATCAGACACCATCTTCAATCTTCAATATCTTATCGGCACTGTTTGCTATTATTGTGTAACGATGGCATCTTAAAATAATTACAAAATAGAATTGACACGATCACTAAATACTAAATACAAGAATATAATATTAATGGAAAGCGATAACTAAATAGTAAATACGTGAACATATGATCGGATTCAACAATTATTATTATGATTTTTGCCCTTGTTTTTAATATAATTTTCTTAAAAGACATTGTTAATATTTGATAATTTATAATTATAGTGCTAATTATATCATTTCGGTTTCCTCAATAAGGATTATTTTTTAGTTGCGTCTCTCTATCTATAAAGCATATTGTATTTTACTGTCTAATCAAAACAATATGTAGTGTAACCAAAACTAAACACGATCACAAATAATAGTCAATGGTGTTTTCAAAAAGAAATGTCTCTAACCAAGAAACATATCAATGTCCCTTAATAATAAGATTAATAGGGTTTAATCTTTAAAAAACTTAAGTGTAGTTCGTAATTTGAATCTAATTGAGAGCGGGGACGAGAGAGAGTGTCGGGACAAAAAGACAGATAAGCTAATTGTGCGGTGGATTTTTACACATAACTTTGTCAGTCACGAGTCTTTCTTGTTCTAATGGCACCAAGCCCTATTTTTGTTCTTTTCTTCTTCCTTTTTTTTCTTTTATTTCATCATATTTTATTTGCATTCTCACTTCATAGCTCTCTATCCCTATTGACCATACCCTTTCTTTTTTTCTCATATCTTCCTTTTCTCGTGATATGGCTTTTCACTCTATTATTACGTGCAAGTCGGGGCAATTGTATATCTTTACTTACATTCAATTGACCGGTTGTAAACATTATTTTAGTTTGGATTTCAGTTTACAAATCATTATGTAAAGAGTATTTATACCAATATGAATGATTTAATTTTTTTTTTAAATGACAGTGAGTTTCCATATTCAAGTAAACAAAATGAAAAAAATTATGATTTGGACATTTGTACTTATATGACTTAAACATTGCTTGACATATGATTTATTATTTTATAGCATGTTCTTGTTATATATGTGGACATCCAAAATATTATCTAAACTTTTTTTGTCATATAAGCTTGCTTTACATATATAGCGTGGTACATATTATGGTTCCATATTTTAAGAATACAATATACAAACAATAAAATCACTAACTAAATTCAGTTCACAAAATGACAATTACGTTTCCAATTGGTCTTCTTTTTTGTTAGATGGTTGTGATTTGTGTTTAGTTGTTTAAAATTGTTAGGCTCCGTTTGTTTAACTTTATATCATTTTAGGTGTTTAAAACAATTACCAGTTTACCACCCAAAACCTCGTAAGATGCTATTAGTTAATGGTCTGACTTATTTTACTATGTAACACGTGAAGACACATCCACTCAGAGAAAATCGAATAAACCGGACATTTTTGGTTAGACCGGAGCAGAACATGTGGTCCATTTGGCCTTAGGGATTCTATGTAACTCGATCTAGTCATTGTCTTCTAGCTAATTTCAGAATCTTACACTCACAAACACTTCGAGTTTCTTCTCATTGGCACAATACTCAACTCTTCTCTTTCTCTCTCTCTCTTCGCTCTTTATCATCAAAATGCTATAATTCTTCTACTCTCTCTCTCTTCCCGTACCAAATCAGCTTTATCTCTCAACCCAGCAAGAGAGAGAGATTTCTTGAATCCATCATAATGGGCGATCACAGAAGAAAATGGATCTCATGTACTCTGTTTCTGGCAATGACATTGATATCATTTACCAATGGTGATATTGACTCAATCCAGCTAAACGACGACGTCTTGGGTCTCATCGTCTTCAAATCAGACCTCAATGACCCATCTTCACACCTCGAGTCTTGGAACGAAGACGATGACTCTCCTTGCTCATGGAGCTACGTCAAATGCAATCCCAAAACATCTCGAGTCACCGAGCTTTCTCTCGATGGTTTAGCCTTAACCGGAAAAATCGGCCGTGGAATCCAAAAGCTTCAACATTTAAAGGTACTCTCACTTTCCAACAACAACTTCACGGGAAGCATCATCGATCTCTCAAACAACAACGATCTCCAGAAGCTGGATCTTAGCCACAACAATCTCTCCGGTCAAATCCCATCTTCTCTCGGTTCAAGAAGCTCCTTGAGATACCTCGACTTAACCGGAAACTCGTTCTCCGGCAGGCTCTCTGATGATTTCTTCAACAACTGTTCATCTCTTAGGCATCTCTCTCTGTCTCACAACAATCTCGAAGGTCAAATCCCTAGTACTCTGTTTCGATGCTCTGTTTTGAACAGTCTGAATCTCTCAAGCAACCGTTTTTCCGGAAACCCAAATTTCATTTCCGGATTCTGGAGACTTGAGAGGCTAAGAACATTAGATCTATCGTTAAACACTCTCTCTGGATCGATACCATTGGGGATACTCTCGCTGCATAACTTGAAAGAGTTGCAATTACAGGGGAATCAGTTCTCAGGATCATTACCTTCAGATATTGGACTCTGTCCTCACTTAAACAGAGTTGATTTGAGTTTCAATCGTTTCTCCGGAGAATTTCCGAGCACTCTTCAGAAGCTGAGATCTCTAAATCATCTTGATTTATCCAACAATTTGCTCTCCGGTGAGTTTCCGGCTTGGATTGGTGACATGACCGGTTTAGTACACTTGGATTTCTCCAGCAATGAGTTAACCGGAAAGCTTCCTTCTTCAATTGGAAACTTGAGGTCTCTAAAGGATCTAATCTTTTCTAACAACAAACTCTCTGGCGAGATTCCGGAATCTTTGGAATCCTGCAAAGAGCTTATGATTCTTCAGCTCAAAGGCAACGGCTTCTCCGGTAACATTCCCGATGGTTTGTTTGATCTTGGTCTTCAAGAAATGGATTTTTCCGGTAACAGTTTGACCGGTTCGGTTCCGAGAGGCTCAAGCAGACTCTTTGAGTCACTCGTAAGGCTCGATCTGTCTCGCAATAGTCTCAGTGGAAACATACCTGGTGAAGTAGGCTTATTCAACCACCTAAGATACCTCAATTTGTCATGGAACAACTTCAACACAAGAGTTCCTCCTGAAATCGAGTTTCTACAAAATCTTACAGTCTTGGATCTCAGGAACAGCGCTTTGATTGGTTCAGTTCCAGCTGATATTTGCGCTTCTCAGAGTCTACAGATCCTTCAATTAGATGGTAACTCACTAACCGGTTCTATACCGGAAGGAATTGGAAACTGCTCTTCTCTTAAATTGCTGTAAGTCTCTATATATCTCTTATATATCCCTGAAGCGCAATGTTTCCTCATTTTAATCATAAGCTTCCTTTTGCAGGAGTTTGTCTCATAACAATCTTACCGGTCCAATTCCAAGATCACTTTCAAACTTACAACAGCTCAAGATTCTAAAGCTAGAAGTCAACAAACTTAGCGGCGAAATACCAAAAGAGCTCGGTGACTTGCAGAATCTGTTATTGGTTAACATATCGTTTAACCGAATCATCGGAAGGTTACCCTTGGGAGGTGTGTTCCAGAGCTTAGACCAGAGTGCTCTTCAAGGAAACCTAGGCATTTGTTCACCATTGTTAAGAGGACCTTGCACATTGAATGTCCCAAAGCCTCTTGTCATCGATCCCAACTCCTACGGGAAGGGGAATAACAACGAGGGAATGCCTACAAACCAAGAAAGCAATGGCTCCAGAAAGTTCCACCGTGGAATGTTCCTTAGTGTTTCAGTGATTGTAGCTATATCAGCTGCAATACTCATCTTCTCTGGAGTCATAATCATAACGCTGCTTAACGCGTCTGTGAGAAGACGGCTTGCGTTTGTAGACAACGCGCTGGAGAGTATTTTCTCGGGGTCTTCGAGATCGGGAAGAAGCTTAGTGGCCGGTAAACTTGTTCTGTTAAACTCAAGATCATCGCGTTCTTCGTCTTCGTCTCAAGAGTTCGCAAGAAACCCCGAGTCTCTTCTCAATAAAGCTTCAAGAATCGGTGAAGGAGTCTTTGGAACAGTATACAAGGCACCTTTAGGGGAACAGGGGAGAAACTTGGCAGTTAAGAAACTCGTCCCATCGCCAATCATTCAAAACCTAGAAGATTTCGATCGAGAAGTTCGGATCTTGGCGAAAGCGAAGCACCCTAATCTAGTGTTGATCAAAGGGTATTTATGGACACCAGAGATGCAGCTTTTGGTATCGGAATACATCCCAAACGGTAACTTGCAGTCCAAGTTACACGAAAGAGAACCCTCAACACCGCCTCTTTCTTGGGACGCAAGATACAGAATCATCCTTGGTTTAGCCAAAGGACTCGAGTATCTCCATCACACATTGCGTCCAACAACAGTCCACTTCAACCTGAAACCGACCAACATCCTCCTCGACGAAAAATACAATCCGAAAATCTCTGATTTCGGACTCTCTCGTCTTCTAACAACACAAGACGGGAACACGATGAACAACAACAGGTTTCAGAACGCTTTAGGTTACGTAGCGCCTGAATTAGAGTGTCAGAACTTAAGAGCCAACGAGAAATGCGATGTTTACGGGTTTGGGGTTTTGATACTCGAACTCGTGACTGGTCGGAGACCCGTGGAGTACGGTGAAGACAGCTTTGTGATACTTAGCGACCATGTTCGAGTTCTGTTGGAACAAGGGAATGTGTTGGAGTGTATTGATCCTGTAATGGAGGAAGAATATTCTGAGGATGAGGTTTTGCCTGTTCTGAAACTTGCTCTTGTCTGTACTTCTCAGATACCTTCGAATCGGCCTACAATGGCGGAGATTGTTAAGATCTTGCAGATCATCAATTCTCCTGTTCCTCACCGGATGCTGGATAGTTTCTAAAAAAGCTTTGTGTTAGTTTAATTTTCTATAAGATCTTTGCAATTTTTCCTGTCCCTTTTTGTGTGTAGAGATTGCTTTCTTTCACAATGCTACGTTTACTCTTTCTCGCTATGTCATCATCATCATCATAAAGATCATTGACCATTGTCATCAGTAATAGGCTTTTTTCCTGAGAATACTACATGTGTTTATTATTTAGCAATATAGTACAAATGTATGATAATTACTGCCGTTGAACAATAAAAAAATTATCATCCAGTGACAAGAACTGGGTACGACAGACAGACAATAATGTGGCATATTGTTGTGAATGGTTCTTTTCTATGATCTTTTTTTCGAAGTCGTTTTCAATCATCGAATAAAAAAAGTTTTGTATTCCTTTATTTTACTTGTGGGGCAAAAACTCTTATCACTAACTGATATCTTACGCCGTAGTTTTTCTACCAAGTTGATTACACAAACACAAGCGCATCACGACTACTTGTATACTGTTTCTTCTAGATTTTCATATTTTCCTCTATGACTGACGTAAAAGCCATTCCCAAATGTTCTTGTATATGTTGTTTGTCAGGCTGCTAATATATATAATTTTGAATTCACTAAAAAACTTAAACATAAATCAAAGAAGCATGAATTGAATCAATGAAATGTTGTTCATCTGTTTAAATTCGGCTATTTTATTTAGAAAACGGTAGTTTTTGAATTTTGACTAATTATAAATATGAAAGAGAATAAAGAATACAATATTCAAGTCCAGACCAATAGCCAGAAAAAAAATCTCTAAAAAATAGAAGAAGTAACATGAAAACCAAAAAAAATGCCTTAAACCAAATCATTATTATAGTTCTAGTTAGTTATTTTATTTGTTTCATTGGTATTTTCAGTTTCATATTATTCAATTGGAATTCTTTTTTTATTTGACTCTATTAATATTTAGTGATAGCTAACTATGTCTTATTTTATGGCGTGTGGAAGATGCATGCATTATATTATAGAAGAACGGCCAAAACCATGTGTTTTGGTATTCAATTATAAATTTATAACAGCTATTAGCCTATTAGTTAGGACTTGGTTACTTTTTGTGATTATGATATAATCCTATAAGCTTTGATTGGTATAAGTAACCTCTTACCACATGTCCACATCGGTTATTAGGGATATTATCATATGCTGGCTATTTTCGTTACAAATGACAAGAATTAACGAATTTATTAAGATTTAACTTAACAAAAAATTAACGTTTTTAACTATTCTATCATATTATAGTGTTATATTTTCACCTTTTTTGTCTTCTCTTACCGCTATTATTTCCTTTAAAAAATTCTAACCGCTTTATATGTTACTTAAAAACATATATATTATTTAATCTCTTTTTTGCCAAACATTATTTAATATCTTAAGAAATGTGATAACTGTAAATTTATGACCACTTGTAGTTTCTAAAATTCCCGAAAACTCTAATCCACACGCTAGTAATAATTTATATTTTATGGAGTTTAAAACTCATCGATACATTAAAGGATGTCCAGTTCAAGGGTTGTATAATTCAACACTCTATATATTTTTAATAGCGTATATGAAAAACTGAATTCTCAAGTTATTGACCAAAATAATGAATTTAAATGATTTGGAAGAAGAATCTTTCTTTGTACAAAAAAAGTACTTAAATCTTATATATTAGAGTAATTAATCTGTCTAAACTTTAGGGAAGCGGTACAAAGTTTAGTGGTTTCAGAAAACAGTAGAAAATTATTTCTTGACCAATGAACGTGATATACATGAACTTTTAATTCTTGACATTGCTTGACCAAAAAAATGGACCCGAGTAAATTCCATCTATATATGTCATAAGAAAAAAACATTGTATTGTCAAGCATGTTACATGGCCTTTTTTGTCTGCTTCACATCTCTTACAAGTACTACACATTTGCTGAAAATCTAACTTTCACCCACTCACACTATTTTCTTCTTTTTTTTTTCCCCAAATAAAAAGAACAGAACGGCTCTGTTTCTCATCTTTCATCTTACTCCGTTTAAGGAAAAATCACTTCTCCGAATCTCCACATCTACAAGTAACAGAGAGACAGAGAGAGTAGAGACAAAGAGAGGATGGCGCGAAAATACTTTCAGAGAGAGGTGTTGCCGGTAACGGCGCTGGTAATAATGGAATGTGCGAACGTTGGCTTAAACACTCTGTTCAAGGCAGCGACTTTGCAAGGCATGAGCTTCCATGTCTTCATCGTCTACTCTTACGGTCTTGCTGCTCTTCTTCTCCTCCCTTCTCCTTTCTTCTCCTTCAGGTTAGAGTTTTATCTTTCTCCCCTGCTTAAAATTGATCCGATCTTTACGAATTTGAGCTAAATGTTTCGCCTTTCGTTGAAATAGAGTAATGGGTTCTTGTTTATTTGACAGATCACGAACGCTTCCTCCGATGAATTTCTCAATCCTCTACAAAATCGTGCTTCTAGGGTTAATTGGGTAAAGTTTCATTTTTTCCATTTCTTCAATTTTAATGCAATAATACCACATGTCTGATTTGAGCTTTGATTACCCGAAAGCTTCTTCATTTCGGGTCAGGTACGATCCGGAAAAGATGAGAATATTGCATCAGAGTTCTTTAGATTCTCAGGTTTTTCTTACCCAATCTTAGAGACACTTGGCTAAAAGTTGCTTCCAAAAGCTGCAAACTTTACTGCAAAAATCTAACCTCATTACCCTCCAAAAAAAAAAAAAAACTAACCTCATTGTGTTTTTATTTATTTATTTTCTTCGTAATAATTTATTTTCTGGAGGGGTTGCTTTCATCTTCGTAATAACCGGAATACATTATATTTTGTTAGATAGATTGATAAATAAAAATTGTCTTAAATAATATAGATGCTGCTCGAACATAATGGGATACACAGGGATAAATTATAGCTCTCCAACACTTGCTTCTGCAATCAGCAACCTCACTCCTGCGTTTACCTTCTTGCTCGCCGTCCTTTTCAGGTTTATTATCCTCTTATATATTCCTTTTACACTATCAATTTCCTTAATTACCCTCGGCCCATGAATTGTATTTTAGCCCTTAATTTTCAGCCCATGAGGCATCACTTATTTTTGTTTGAACATTTTTTTGGAGTTTGTTGATTGCAGGATGGAGAGTGTATCTTTCAAGAGGACAAGCAGCGTGGCTAAAATGTTGGGAACCGTAGTTTCCATAGGAGGAGCATTTATAGTGACTCTTTACAATGGACCTGTCGTGATCGCTATGTCACCACCGTCCGTTTCTATGCGATCACAGTCACCAAACCATAATTGGATCATTGGCGCGGCTTTCCTCTCGGTCGAGTATTTCATGGTTCCATTGTGGTACATTGTTCAGGTCTAGTCACTAAATGAACTCTATGTGCATATAGTATTATATTTATATTTCTTGATCTTTTCTTGTTTTTAAATATAATCATATTCCTTTGATTTTTGCTTCTTTTTGTAGACTCAAATCATGAGAGAATATCCATCCGAGTTTACCGTCGTTTGCTATTATAGCTTAGGCGTGAGCTTTTGGACTGCGCTCATCACATTGTTCACTGAAGGGAGTGACTCGAGTGTATGGAAGATAAAACCTAATATAGCTTTAGTGTCAATCGTTTGCTCGGTTAGAACCTAACTACTTATTTTCATGTGTGTGTTTCCTAGATATATAAATATGCGTGTAACTAGCTTGAAACAAGCATATGTTAATTACTGAGCATATCTTCTATGTTTAGGGTTTCTTTGGATCTTGCATAAACAATACTATCCACACATGGGCGTTGCGAATCAAGGGGCCTTTATTTGTTGCAATGTTCAAGCCTTTGTCGATTGCCATTGCCGTTGCAATGGGCGTGATCTTCCTCCGAGATTCCCTCTACATTGGCAGGTGAAAAAAAAAACTCACACTTTACATCAAATTCAAGTCTAGTAGTTTTGTCATGTTGTCTAAGATCAGTTTGAACTCGTTTTTATGTTAAATACATATATATATATATATATATATAATGTATACCAAGTCATATCACAAAAGGTTCATGTATCAAATCTCTATTTTTTTTTTAATCTTTTTTAAAGTATTTTCTTTCCATTTATGTGCTTGAATGTTGATCTCAGCTTGATCGGGGCAACGGTAATAACAATAGGGTTTTACACGGTGATGTGGGGCAAAGCCAAGGAAGTAGCCATGGTCGAAGACGAAAACAAGACTAGCCACGAGGATGCCGACGAGGCTGACCTCGACTCTCCATCGGGCTCGCAGAAGGCTCCTCTCTTGCAAAGTTACAAGAACGATGAACATGTCTAAATGTCATCAACCCGTCAAGATAGCTCTCTCTATATATATATAATATTTGTGTGAAATTTTCGTATATGAATGTAATTTATTTGACGAAAATGTGATCTTCAATTTTAGGAATCAAGTTATTTCTAATCACAATTTCATAATCTAGATATCAAGTCTTTTATTAAAACTTATCTTAGTCTGTTACATATTTAGGCACAAGAATGATTCTAATATCCATGAGTAAGACTGACTCTGGTGAGATAGTTAGTATATTTTTTGTGTTTTTAATTTAAGCACTAGTGTGATGAAGTTGTCCTGCATTTCTATATCCATTTTTTTACAGAAGATTAATTGAAAACCAGTCAAATTCCATTAAGTTCTTTTTTTAAAAAAAAAATCATTAAATTACATTAAAAAAAAAAATAGTTGAAATGGAGAAGGCAGAAGAAAATCTCCGTCGATCATAGTCTCGTACATTGGTCAAACCCTCACGGACAGAGTTCTGAATTCAGACAGATCTTCGAAACAAAACGAAGAGACAACGATGGCTGGGAGATTGTGTCAGAGAGACGGCGGAATCATGGCGGCGATGGTGGCGGTTGTAGTGTCTGACGTCGGAATGAATACTCTGTTCAAAGCGGCGAGCTCAAAGGGAATGAGCTCTTACGTCTTCCTCGTCTATTCTTACGGAATCGGAGCTCTTCTTCTCCTTCCTTCTCCTTTCCTCACTCACAGGTCCCTCTTTCTTTTCTCTCTAGATTCTTCTTCATCCTCCAATTTCCAAAATCTGTGAAATTAATTCTCAGGTCAAGATCTCTTCCACCATTGAAATTCTCAGTACTCTGTAAAATGGGACTTCTTGGGCTACTTGGGTAAGAAAGATCTCTTCTTGTCTGGTTTCATCTTCAATCTCCGATTTTAGATTTGCTGTTTGTTGTTGACTAATTACTAATCATCATTACTCTTCTTGTTGGGCAAAAAAAATGAGAGAAGGTGTGTGTATTTGATGTTAGGTTACACAGGAATCAAATATAGTTCTCCTACTTTGGCTTCAGCTATGAGCAATCTCACTCCTGCTTTCACTTTCCTCTTTGCCCTTCTCTTCGGGTAACTCTTCTTCTCTTATCCGGTTTATCTAAATATTCTGAATCGAATTCTGATTTTGATTTGGTTTACCACATTTCCGGTTATTCGGTTTGGTATATTTTTTTATTTTTTTTGGTATTGAAAGAATGGAGAAGGTATCTATAAAGAATAATAGCAGCTTAGCCAAAGTAGTGGGCACAATAGTTTCGATAGCTGGTGCACTCGTAGCCACTCTTTACCATGGTCCCATCATCTTCGCCGCATCTCAGCCGTCCGTTTATATTCCTCAGCCTCTCTCGCCGCCTCCATCGTCACCGTCGAATTCTAATTGGGTTATCGGCGGTGGTTTCTTAGCCCTTGAATACACTCTAATCGCCGTATCTTACATCATTCAGGTATAAATAACACTTTGATCATAATTCATACATGTATGTATTCACAAACTTTAATATATATTTATATTTTCCTTTTTAACATTTTTGATGGTGGTTAGACGCATATAATGAGGGAATATCCATCAGAGTTTGCCTTGGCACTTTCCCACAATGTATGTGTTTCGATCTCTTGTGCGTTTGTTAGTATTTTTGCGGAGGAGAACAATCCGAGCGCGTGGATTATGAGATCCAAAATAATGTTGATATGCATCGTTGCAACGGTATGGATCATATGTTTCTCTGTAGTTTTAAATAAGTATTCAAAAGAAAGAAGATTATTAGTTAAGCAAGCTTATTTTGTTGAAAATGTTTATATTATAGGGGATGGTAAATTCGACGGGGTATGTGGTCGAGTCATGGACGGTCCGACACAAAGGGCCATTGTTCCTAGCAATGTTCAGGCCTTTATCTATATTAACCGCCGTGGTACTAGGCGCGATTTTTCTAGGCGATTCTCTCTACTTGGGAAGGTGAAAAATAAGAGTTCAAAATCTCAAAATCTACTTAGTATTATTCACATTCAATTAATATTCTTTGTTAATTTGGCAGTGTGATTGGTGGAACTTTGATATCAGTCGGTTTCTACACAGTTATGTGGGGGAAAGCAAAGGAAGAGAAGGCGGATATCGACGCTTATGCGTCTGCGACAACATCATCTCATTCGAGGAGAGTTCCACTTTTGACGAATTACGCCGCAGAGAAACAAGTCTAACATTGTTAAAATATATTGATCTGGTGTAGCAACAATTCGTTTTCAAGGTTTTGATGTCCATATTTCATATATACACAAATGTTTTTGGCTTTAGCGGTTTAGCCTCATCCAATGGTCCGGACCAATCTATATACTTGTCGAACCAGCTGTGCAACGGTAAATCAGTAAGTACCACGGGGTGGGATTATATAAAAAATCCAAAAAGCTTTATAAAACACCATAAAACTCTATAAAAACCCGCAAGACGGATTGTTCGTGTCGAACTGATTTTATTTTATTTTTAACTATTTTTTTTGTTGTTTTCAAAAATAAATGGGAAGTTTAGGGTTTTGCTGTAAATGGACTCATATGGCTCTTGTGAATATGTACATGTCTACTGCTTTCACGTCACAGTCCCGTTAGTTTATCCACATGCATTCACAAAAATAAGAATAAAAGTTTATCTGAATTGTGGTTGATCCGCACGGGGTAGTACCATCCGTTGAAGATCTCAAGTAGCTCGTACAGTTCATAGTATATAAGATCTCAAGAATATTATTATATTTACTTCCCTCACAATTCAATGAAACACACGTACAGTTCACAATCATTAGGATCATTTCTATGAGCTAGGATGTTAAAATACCAAACTAAGTTTTATTAAGATGTGTGGATAAATTTAATGTTATCTTTACCTAATATATGAAGTGCCTTTTTCTGAGAGAAAATGAGGAGAAATACCATTTCGTCTAATTTTGTCAAAAACAACGATATCAGAAAGCTTATGTGTTTCTGATCAGGCTGAAATTCTCGGGTTATTTTTGTAACTCACTGATTTTGATCAGAGGTGAGTTTTGCATTCGAATAGTACACTTGTCACAAATTTGATTTCTAGCGGAACTATTTTCTAAAGCATCCACAAAAACTTGATATTATGTTCATTCAAAAAAAGAAAAAGGAATTGAATACTATGTTTATGATGTGTCCAAAAGCCCATATAACTAGGGTTCTTGGCTTCTTGCCAAGTAGGGACTCATGTGTTAAGAACATTAATGTAAGGTAACTTTGAAAGTTGTCCTCTTATAGTCTTATTGTATGATATCGTCATTCAAAGCATTACTAAGTTTGGTGTCCTTCAATTAATATTCTCATTTCTTTTATTTTCATGCATGTAGTAAATAAAGCTCTAAATGAGCTATCTCATTATAGTTTCATTTTCTATCTTAATAACCTCTTTGTTTGATTGGGAAATTGGAGCGTATTTCTTCCGAAAATGTTGTAGACTCGCGTATTCAATTCGTCCATTCGAAATTTGAAAGCCAATAAAAAGATAATTTTGGACCACAAAAAGGCACTTTCTTTTTTAGTCATAACACAAAGAAAAGAAACAAAGAGATAATAAATTACGGACTCTCATTCCACTCTAAGCTTTCTATCGATTCCAAAAATGACCGGAGCCATTAGTCTCTGGTGTACAGAGGCCATGTTCTTGACGGCGATGCTTGTGTCGGAAACCGGTATTGTCGGAATGAATACTCTGTTTAAAGCAGCTACTTCAAAGGGACTCAACTCTTACGCTTTTCTCGGCTATTCTTATCTTCTTGCTTCTCTTCTCCTTCTTCCTTCTCCATTCTTATCCAATAGGTTAATTTCTACTAACTTTAATCTCTGGACCATTGGTTATCTTTTCTTTTTTGTGAATTTTCATTTGATTTGTTTTTTTTTTTCCAGGTCAAGATCACTTCCTCCATTGAGTTTCTCAATTCTGTGCAAGATAGGTCTTCTTGGACTATTAGGGTAAATCTAATTAGCTACACAATTATTCTTCTTCTTTTTCCAATTTTGAATATGGAATTATCTTCCACTTAAGTGTTGATAATATACAAATTATGTTTTTGTTTCGTCTAATTAATATTTGGCTGAAAAATAAATATGATGAACAGATCAATGTATGTGATTACGGGATACATAGGCATTAAATACAGCAACCCAACCTTAGCATCCGCCATTAGCAATATCACTCCGGCTCTTACCTTCATCCTCGCCGTTATCTTCAGGTTTATCAACTGTATCCTTCTCTTTACCATTTTCTTAATCATGAGAGACTGTTTTGTAGTTTAAAACAACTTTTTTAGATCTTCATTATTCTAGTTGATGGGTCCATATATAACAAGGGGGGATTTTTTTTTTTTTTAACTTAGATCAATTAACTCAATCTTCTCCGATGACTTTATATATGTAGCTTGACAACTTAAATTTATTGAAATTAGATCATGTTGGTTTTTGTACTTGATCACTATATTGAACTTCGATATATTTAGCAAACCAAGTTTTTCCTAATTGGGTTTTCATTAATGCCTACGTTTATTTTTTTCTTCTCCCTTTTAAAGCATACATTTATTCAGGTTCGGTAAGATGGTAAGATTATTATCGCACAATCACGATCAATGAGACAAAAAAATATCACGATCATAATTTGTGGTTAACTCTTAGCAAGTACGTTGGTCCCATCCCTAATAAATTAAAGGTGCTTGCATTATTAGACAAGATGCGTATTTATCGGTCTTTCTTTCATATTTGGCAGCCAGGGTTTCCTTTTTCTTTTGTTACTTGGCATTTCGAAAAGAGAACAAAAATATATGGTTTTGAACTAATTGGAATAAAACATGACATAATCATTTTTAATTTGTGAAAAAAAAAAAGAATGGAAAAAGTATCTTTCAAAGAAAGGAGCAGTGTAGCCAAAGTGATGGGGACAATATTGTCATTAGTAGGCGCACTTGTGGTGGTTCTCTACCACGGTCCACGTGTCTTCCTCGCATCTTCTCCGCCGTATAAAAACCACCGTCGGATATCTCCGCCGTTATCATCTTCGAATTCCGACTGGATCATCGGTGGATGTCTTCTTACCATTAAAGACATTTTCGTTTCTGCTTCTTTCATCTTACAGGTATCATTTTAGATTCTCATGCATAATGGAAAATTTGTTTGTATATGGGAAAGATGATCCGTATCAAGAAAAAAAAATAGTCTATAGAAGTACATACATAGCCATTGGAATTATGAAAGTTGAATATTTAACTAATGATTAATCCGTTTATCTTATATCAAACATCAATTTATTTCAATGTTTTATTATGCAATGATTTTTGGCAGGCACATATAATGACTGAGTATCCAGCAGCATTTACAGTCTCCTTTTTCTATACTCTATGTGTTTCAATCTTAACCTCGTTGACTGGACTCGCAGTCGAGAATTCAAGCATTTGGATCATTCGATTTGATATTACTTTGATAAGCATTGTAACTATGGTACGCTTTATTTAAAGATTTTATAATTTGAATCAAACTTTCTCCGTTTTCATCTTAACATATATGGTTTTCTTGTAAAAACATTTCAGGGAATATTCACTCCAGTATACTACGTGATTCATTCATGGACAGTGCGTTACAAAGGACCTCTTTACTTAGCGATATTTAAGCCGTTGTCGATTCTAATAGCAGTGGTTATGAGCGCGATTTTTCTAGGCGATTCTATCTATCTTGGATGGTATATTTATTAATAGTCTTGATTCACTTATTTGTAAAGAACCAAAAAAAAAAACACTAATCATCTTCGGTTTTGTGCTTTTTTGTTGCAGTTTGATCGGAGGAGTTTTGATAACGTTAGGGTTTTACGCTGTGATGTGGGGGAAAGCAAACGAAGAGAATACTCGGTTATTGTCACTTTCAGAAAAAGAGAAAACCCCTCTTCTACTGAACCAAAACGACGACCAAATTTAAACAAAAGAAAAAATGGAATCTACGCAGAAAAAAGTTACTTTTAGAATATACATGCATAGTTTTAGTATTTCGGTACATAACTGTGACACTCTTGTTTCCATCATTTGATGGGACTATCATTCAAAGATTATATTTATTCGAGCTATGTAGATATCTTTTTCCGAAGACTCGGATGCCAAAATATTTTGTGGAATGCATTGATTTAAATAATAACACCCATATTAATTTATGAAAAAAGTTCAAAGAAAGGAGCGGTGTAGCCAAAATGGTGGGGACAATTGTATCACTGATTGGTGCACTTGTGGTGGTGCTCTACCACGGTTTACGTGTCTTCACCGTCGTTTCTCCTTCGTGTCCACAACTCCGTCAGCTTTCTCCGGCGTTATTATCATCAAACTCCGATTGGATGTCTTCTAGCCATCAAAGACACTCTCCTTTCTGTTGCTTTCATCTTCCAGGTACAATGCATATATATTAATTCATTTTGTTTTTGTTCGTACATAGTACAATTTTATTTTGTTTCTGCAAATTTGACGTTGCGGAAGCGTCAAGGATAAAAACTATTATCCATTTAAAGCACCCGGAAAATTAAGGCCTTTGTAATCTACTCATTTTTACAGAATTATATAGAAAAGTGAATAAAAGAAAATAATAATTTTGTTACTAATAATTTTACTTATATATATATTATATTTTTTATTGATTTGAATTTGGACACGCGCATATAATGAATGAATATCCAGCAGCATTCACGGTCTCTTTCTTCTATTTTGTATTTGCTTCAATCTTCACCTCGTTAATGGGACTCGTAACAGAAAAGAATAGCCCAAGCATATGGATCATTCGATTTGATATTACATTGTTTTGCATATTAGTCGAGGACCTCGAGGTACGTACAATTTTAAGTTTCTAGAACTTTTATATATACTAAAATAAATTCTGTATAAATTTTGGTCTTGTAGGGGATATTTCACCAAAGGATAGTACACAATTCATTTGTGGGCCGTACGTAATAAAGGACCTGGTTATATTTGGACCTTTGTCGATATTAATAGCAGTGAATCAGTGATCATGGGAGCGACTTTTCTCGGCGATTCTCTTTATCTCGGAACACACTTGTTTGTAGAGAAAAATCATCTAATGGTGCAGTTTAGTCCGAGGAGCTTTGATTCATGTGGGGGAAAGCAAAAGAAGAGAAGAAGACTAAATTGTTGTCACTTTCAGAGGAAGCTCCTCTTCTTATCAAAAAATAAAGACGACCAAATTTAATTCATTCCCCCAAAAAAAAAAAAAAAAAATTGGAAACAAGTAGAAGAGAACTCCACTGGATGCATTTATTCATGGTATTTAAGAGAACTGTCCTTAATAAAATCAAGATCTAGAATATCATGTCATATTCTTTACTCTTTTGTCATTTGTAAGGAAAAAGATGAGGCTATAATTTTTTACTTATTTTTTGTCGTCATTTCACTATTTTTTGGGGTTTAGTTAGATCTCTAATTAATTTTAAAATTATCTGAGTAATTCACGTACTCATCTTCCCCATTCGATCCAGCCCATAAAAATTCCCCCTTTTTCCTTCGTTTTCTCGCTGTCAAGCTTACCTTCTCCACCACTATCACTCCCGATCTCTCTTCCTTCTTCTCAATCGCTCTAAGGGTTCCTCTCTGACCCAAAACACTCCGAGATCTCCGTCTCAGATTCTCTGTGCCCTCTTCGATTTTCCGACGAAAATCAAAATAATGTCGGAAGGCTACGCGATCGAGCTCTATTTTGACCCAGCGCTCGAAAACCAAGTCTTGAAAGCTTGGAACGTCTTCGCTCGCCGTCAAATCAGCACCAAATTGATCAACACCGAGTCTCGCCCACACATAACCCTATTCTCCACCTCCTTCGTCGACTCGGCCAAGCTCGAACCCATCATCAAGACCTTCGCTTCCAGGCAGGAGCCACTATCGCTCTCTTTCTCATCGATCGGAAGCTTCTCCAGCGACAACAACGCACTCTTCCTCTCGCCGACGCCGTCGCTCTCGCTCCTCCAGCTACAGGTTCAGCTATGCGACGCGATTAAGAAAGAAGGTGTTGAGATCGGCGAGGAGTATCGTCTCGATTCTTGGGTCCCGTTCTGTCCTGTGGCTCTTGAAGTGCCAAGGTCTCGTATTGCTGAAGGGTTCTCTGTTTTGAGGGATTTGAAGCTTCCCGTGAATGGTTACGCCATGGATATTGGTCTCGTTGAGTTTTCTCCAGTTCGTGAAGTCTTCTCTTTTGCTCTTGGTAACAATTTGGAGTCTTGATAACATTTGTTTTGGCTAGTGTCTGTTCTCAGGTCCGATGATTTTTAGCTTATTGGTTTTATGTAATGGTTTAGAAAGATGAATTGAAACAATGGATGTTGTTTTAAGAATTGCTATTTCACTGTGTACAAAAGCTCCGAGCAGGAAATTTTCTCTCTTTCTCAGAGATTTAGCTATTGTCTTTCTGCTATAAAAGATTGATGATATTATTGTTCTGTAGAAATTCTCCATATCTTAAGTTGTTTCTGTTTCATCTACTTTTAGTCAAGCAGTTAAAGCTTGACTAAAGCCATATTTTTGATTTGAGATTCTTCACTTGTGTTCCAAGAACACGCATTGCTCGAAGCCAGTTAATATCCTGCAGGTTACAACGGCTTATCAGCGTAGAACTCGGCGAATACATGAATCATCATTACTCTCTGCAGGAGAATGGGGACAAGTATATGAGGTAAACGAAAGTTATGTGTGTTCTATGGAGTATCGTGTAATATCTATGTAGCATCAGATGTTCTAGAAGCCGCAGCAAAAAATTACATCTGTGATATACTTATTCATAAGTTGAAGGTAAAAGAATGGTTTTTATACAGTATTTATCCACAAATCATCATCTTAACCGTCTAATTATCGCCATTAGAAACTCGTTCCACGCATCAATTGGCCCTGGCAAACACCAGTGGACGCAATCATTATAACCTTTCATCCATTTATTTCCCCAGTTACCATTCGGATGGCCATCAGGTCTCATCATCATAACCTTAGTCACATCCAAAACCGCAAACTTCTTTGCCTTGTGGTCTTGTTTTGTTATTCTTTCAAGCTGTTCAATCTGTGATGTCCTGATCTTCATCTCGTTGCTTTCCAGGTCAATCTGGTTTTCACCAAAAGGACTCGTCCTGCTGCAAGATCCACCTGTATCCCAAGTCCCATTCTCGAAATGGGCAGGTGAAATAGTCCTCAGGACCGTCACTAAATCTTCCTTGCACTTCTCACACTCTACGATGTGCTTAAAAAACGCTGAATAAACAAGCTTAAACCCTTCTTCTGGTGTAATTTGTGTCATATTTGGTAAGTTACAGTAGATGCAACCAAGCGACTCGTCTCCTCTATGTATGAATATTGGTCTGAAGAACCAATGAGCAGCCGAGATAATAGCAATGTCTGTATTTGGTAGATCCTTAGACCAACCTTGATCGATCTTGCCAATATCTAAATCAAACAATCCAGTTCCTGTATTGTTAACGTCTCTCCTCTCTCGTTCCGCCACAAGAAACTTAGTCCACGAGGTCGAGAGAGTGAAATCATGGTTTGGAAAGTACCAAATCCTGTTTCTATCTTCATCATCCGTGTAGATATCCTTGGGTGTTTCTTCCTGCACAAGCAAAATACAAGGGTTAAGCAAAAGCAATTATTCTTTATGAAAAACTTTTCTTGTAAACAAAGCAACACATTGATCCTCAGATATATACGGTATACCATACCCTTGACAACAAGCAGAGAAGAGATTCCATGTGGTTCCTTGCTACAGAATCACCGATAAAATTCATCTTCTTTCCTTGAACCATACTGAGAAATGCCTTAGGGTTAAACCTCGGTAGATCGCAGCCATCGGGTTTCCATCTCCAGGACAAGAAATCTCTGTCTGGTCTCCCCTGTTTTATGCAGTTCTTCGAGTCAGGAATCGTGGAACAGCTTGAGTTCGTGTACAAAGATCCTCTTTTGTCTGGAACCCAATGTCCCTTGAACAAATCACACTTAGGATCTAACCAAACCACAACAAGAAAAACAAATCAATACAAATTTTCCAACAATATCTCAAGAACAAAAAAAAAAAGGAGATATTGTTTAAAGAGTTGGAAGGTTTTCAAACAACAGCAAAAACGTGGGAATAGTTAAAACACATAACATAAATCCATATAATCTCACGAAATCTTCGTAAACTGAGTCGTGGGAAAAAAAACCCCTAACAAATTCATAGATACAGCAAGATAGTAATGATCATGTTTTATATATTTTTCTTTATGTTTTACCTTACCGATTTGAGGTTGGAGGGAGAGAAACTGTCGATCGGAAATGGGTTTAAAAGGATTCTGATGGTAGACGAAGAAACCGGTGAAGAAGAGAGTTATACAAAGAGAAGACAAGAGTAATGGCGTTAATCTCCCCATGTTCGTAACTATCCATCTCTCTGTTTTCTCTGAATTTTCACGGAAAATCGATGATGATTTCATTGTTGCATGTCGATCATCCCAAGAAACATACCCACGCATATGTACATATATATGTTTTTCCAAATACACGCGGAGAGATTTGCCTTTTATTCTGTGTCTCTAAACTTTATTTTTGGCAGTAAAAATAAAAATTTAGGAAGATGAAAGGAAGGAGAAAGGTTAACAATGTTCAAAAAGAAGAACAAATTAAAGGAGAAAGGTTAACAATGGCGATTTATGAATTTTTACTATTTTTGTTTGTAATTTTTTTTAAAAAATATTTTTGTTTGCTTTTCATTGATGATGTAACGGTAGCCGTTAGATGACGACACGTGGTGTGCGACGATGTTGTATGGGTTTGCATGTGAATTGTGATGTGGTGACTCTTGACTCTTTTTTACATTAAACCACATTTCACGGCGTAATCTCTTTTTTCCTCTTTGTAGAAATTTTGTTGCCACTTTTTGTGTGATTTATTTAATGTATAACGCGTATACTATAATCTTTCTTCACCTTTTTCTCCCATCTTGCAAGGTCATTGATAAACAAATCATATTGTATCGATTTCTGAACTTTTCTAAGCTATTTTAACATTTTCCAAATAAATATAGTACCCTTTTCAATCGGTTTAAACATGTTATTACTACATCACTAATGACAATCATGTCAAGTAGTTCTAATTCGCATAATAATTTTGTTTTTGACAGCTAATTCGCAAATATACAATCGAGAAAACATATTCAGTTTAAGAAACTTGGATTTTTCAGCATCCTCTCCGCAATTGGAAATCGGTATAACTGACAAAATTGGCGTGTATTTATTTATACTAGAGTTGTACCTGTGCATACGCGCGGGTTTTGTTTGGCATAATATTTTTAAAAATATGTTTGTGTTGATATATATATATATATAGTTATAAGAATATGGTAATTGGTTTGATTGTTTAGTATTAGATTTTTTTTATAATAAAATCTTTGTAAAACAAATAACTTTTTCTTTAAGGATTGGAAGTAGGGTAAGTAGAAAAATTATTCTATTATTCTAGAAATCATAAACATGATATGTGTAAAAAATACGTAGATAAAAGTCATATTTTTTTGGTTGAATTGCTTGAAAACATATAATTGCCTCTGATTTTTAATGTTTTCATATTTATGACACACACAATTGTTATGGTTCTGCAAGAACCACTCCATATTTTATGTTCCACAGTAAAATGCAGCTATAATAATATGATATTTGACCCATAAAAACCGTCAAATCTTTGAATGAAGTGAACACTACATTTTTATATTCTTTCATATAACAAGCTTCGAAAAATGTGTTCATGATGAGAATAAACCGGAAAAAAGTATCAAGTTAGTACAAAAAATATTAAAAAATTTTAGACGAATGCCAAAAGATTAGAAATGTTGTTTATTTATTTTTGTTAGGAATGTGGAAAGTCTTAATATTAATGTAACTTAATAGTTATGAACATAAATACATATGAAATTAACATGAAATAGAAAATTTAAGTTAGAAGTAATGGTATTAATTAATTTTTATTTTTTTATTTTAAAATTTATAATTTATTAATTGGATAAAAAGATAGGTGTCCTCCATTCAAATGCTGATGTGGTAATATGATGAGAGTTCACATAAAATCATATATATGATTTGATATCAGAATCGAAATCCAGCCACATCATAAGTATAGGATAAAAGTGCTAAATATTATAATTCACACCACTACCATGGAAAGATCATGATGATAGATGTTCGTGTAAATCATCTAGTGAGTGATGAGGTCCAATGGAAATCCGAACGAGATTCCCGCATTGTGCAACTGACTTCTAATGGACTAGGAAAGAAACTTTAGAAAATTGGTGTCTTGTACATAAAATCTCCAAAAAAAAAAAAAAAAATTACACGATTAATGTGGTTTAGAGGAGCAATTGTAACTATATCATCAACTATCCTCGTCTTTTTGTTATCTATGTACAATATCACTAATACGAATCTCTAATCAAAAATATCTACTGAAACGTGGTGACCGGTTAAGACAGTATTCATCGTTTACTTCTTCTGGTAAAGCGGTAGTTATAATTTTAGTTAGAGCCTCGTACTTGTGATATTGTATATAGATAACAAAAAGATTAGGATAGTTGTTTTTGGTCAAGATAGATAGCTGGTGATATATTTATCATTATATAATATACACAATCACTTTTCTTCTACTAAGGGAAAATTCCATAATACACCAACTAAAAACTGAATATTTTCACTAAATTTATTCTTCTTCATTCCATACGCTATAAATCTATCGTCAACGAAATTGAAATGTCGGTTATATGGGCCTTGAAACATTACATCTAAATCTCACCTACAAAGCAGTTGATTGATTCCGATCCAGCCCAAGTCTTGCTTTTCCGTTACTTTTTAAAAAAATAAAAATCTAATATCGGAAAGAGTTCATGGGATCTTGAAGGAGTGGTCGACAGTTGAGAAGCCAATTGCAAGAAGCAACAGAAAGAATGGTTACTGGCATGGCTTGAACCAAAAGGTTGGCTGAGCCAAGATGCTCAAAATGGTGTTCAATCGATCATTGCCTTTAATCTTACTAACGAAGAAGATTTTTTTTTTGAATAATACAAAAGAAGAAGATTTTACAACTTGTTAGCCTCGCGATGAGAGAGCAGATGATATGGTTATAGAGGCTTTTGACAAAGGAAGAAGATTATATACAACTTGTTAGTCTAGAGATGAGAGAGCAGATCGATGATATGGAAGTTCAATAATTTGTTAGTACAGTTCATCTGACAAATTAAATACAAAGATAAGTATATGATTTTTGTTTATATTCTTTTGGTTATAATACTACAAAAGTTAATTATTCTTCAATGTGTAATATCCAACATATCACGTTTTCTTTTTTGGGTCGAATAGTATTCAATGTTTGCTACCTAGAATACTGTTTCGTAGATGTATACTCCATGCATATCATATGTTAGATATGAAGGAAATTATATCCAGCTAAACATATGGCTACCTCAAATTCATAAATCTAATTCAATATCAGGACTTACAATTACAAATTTTGATAGTCAAAAACTTCCAGCTTCTCTCCCAGAGCTATAGATGAGAGTGTTAAAACAACTTTACGTTATGAAGTTTGATTTCCAACCTATGTTCTGACTTCTGAATCATCAAAAAAGATCATCGAAACCTTGTATTAATTACAAATAAACAACCGTTTTTAAGGTTTCGATTCCCTACAAATTCAAAACTATTCTGAAGTTAAATCTATATATGTTCAAACAAACTACTTTGTAGTTCAGCTATTAATCAATCCAGTAATATATCCCAGATAGAGTTGTTTTGGAAGGTTTATCCACTCTGTAATTAGTCGGACGGTACAAACATTTTATACCAGTAATATATTTTCGTTTGTTTTGGAATTGAATAGTAGACCATTTTTTCCTTTTGGACCAAATAACACTTGATGGTCCCGTATTTTGATTGGGACGTAGTTATACATTTATATCATTGTGAACGATATAGCAGTTTCATGTTGTATTCGTGGTTGCAATTGCAAAAAGCCATTCGATTCGAAATTTGAGTTTGGGTTGTGAATAGTTGTAACCTCTAAAATATTCCTTTTGTTTCTAATTGGTAAATTTTCACATGCACAGATAAAAAAAAAACTATACATGATGTCAACAAAAATCACTCATTCTCTTTCAAAATAATTGATGTTTAAGATTTTAACACATAGATCCAGAAAATATTCAATTTTTATTTTTATAAAGAAAAATCTCATTTCTGATTTACCTTAACACAATTCAATCAATGAATGTTAAAATACAGGATGGTTCATGAGAGTGGATAAAGCTTGCAAAACCAAATATATGCAAATCTCAAAGAATAAACCCGCTAGAGTGAATCAACTTGGAATCTCCTTACCATCTATCATCTATGCTTAATAGAATTAAGTCTGGCCGAGTATAACAAGTTCATTTTTATATTGCTAGTATATGACCGTTTATACTAACCCTCTTTGACCTAGCAAGAAATTTATTAAATCAAATATATGTATTATTGATTAAGTAGAAGATTATATTGCAAATCTAGCTATAAATGCAGATCCAATTATTGTCGTATATATGTTATATAGTAGCTAGATTATGAGAACACTGGAGATTTTATCATGAAATCCCAGGCCCAATTATCAGAATAATAAAAAAAAACTCAACTAAATGATTCGAAAACTATTGTTTAAAATTTTTATGTATGTACACATTATTATACAATCATGGCCAGAGAGGCCATACCACATGTGTTTAGTACAATTTCACATGTGACAATGCCAATGAAAATTCACAAAACTAAAAACATTAGCTTAAGAGTTCAAGACATGTCCCATGTTCACTTTGGCTTATCTCTTCAAGACTTCAATATCTCCTTGATTTTGCATTTGCTTGGTTGCTAGGACACACTCGCATATAGGCACATGAATTTCCAATGACCCATATGTTCCTTTAGGTCCAAAATTAGGAGTAAGAAAATAATACAAATTTCTTTTTTACTCTCACATGTACTAGTCATTTTTGTTTAAACCGCTTTTACATTCTTCGTGTGGAATGGTGACAAATCTTACTACAATAGGTAGTGTTCCGCCCAAAAAAAATGGAGCTTTATATCCATAAGAACTATTTTCACGTCGATCGAAAGTGATTTGAATGTTATTTTCTACTATATTAAATCATATTACGAAAAAAGAGTTTAGTACATAATAATTCACCTATTTATATGAAAGTTTTTGGGGATTAATTTGGCGTGGGATTCATAATTTAGTTCAAGTCCCAATTAATCCCAAAATGGGCATTTTGTCTCTAACTTACTTTATTTTGGATCCCACTACTTTGTTGGAACTTTTTAACATTGATAAGATTCGAAGATTTTACAATATATAAAATGCAATGGAAACTAACGAGTCAGTCAAATCGAGATCGGTCATTCCATAGTGTCTAGGGTTAGAGATCATAGAGATGTTCAAGGGTATCCATACATAGATATGTGAATGAAAAAACAATAGACTAAAGTAGAAAAGACCCTCATTTGACTTCTAAGCAGTTAAAATATTGTCTTATTGATGAAATTGACCAATCAAGACACAAAAGAGGATTGTATTACGATGG